AGTGAATTCAAGGCCAGCTTGGAGTACCTAATGAGACACTGCCTCAAAAAAATACAAAAGAAAAAATGATTTTTTTTTTTTTTTGGCCTGCTCAGGATGCCTTAAGGGCAGGTCTGGTAAGGCATGAGGATCTGGGGAATCAAACCACAGAATTCTGAGCCTGACTGCTTTGTTTAAGCAGGTACTTAAACAATTGAGCTAATGGGCAGGCCCCCCAAAAGAAAAAAAGAAACAACATGATGTATATGGTGGCACATGTCTATAATTCCATCATTCAGAAGGCTGAGGAAAACAATCACCATGAGTTTGAGGCCAGTCAAGGACAGTCTGAATATCTGAAAAACAAACCAAAACAAACAAAAAAACCCAAAACAAAACAAAACAAGTAGCATTAATACATCTAGAAATTAGAACATAGATATCAAGTATGAAGAAAGAGCTTGGCATAGTGGCACATGCCTGTAATCTCAGCATTTTGTAGGAGGATCACTGTTTCAGATCAGCCTGGGCTACAAAGTGAGCTCAAGGCCAGCCTGAACTGCATAATAAGACTCTATCTCAAAAAGACAAAAAAAAGAGAGAGAGAGATTTAAAAAGAACAGTCAACATCTGAGTAATAACTAGAGTCACTTAAGTAAAGGATAAAGCTGGGGGTGGGTGGAATGATTGTGCCTGAGGCTGGAGGATCTTTGAGAGTTCGAGACCAGTCTGGCAGCCTGGGCTACAAAGTGACCTCACACCAGCCTAAACTATACAGCAAGACTGTCTCAAAAAAGAGTAAATAGGGTGGGGAGATAGTTCAGTGGCATAAATGCCTGCTTGGTAAGTGCAAGATCCTGAGTTTGATCCATAGTTCCTTTAAAAAAAAAAAAAAAGATTTTTTTGGGTGGAACCGGGGATTGAACTCAGGCCCTTGTGCTTGCTAGGGAAATGCTTATTCCACTGAGCTATCTCCCTGGCCCCGAAAAATCTTGTATAGAGAACAAGCTACTGGGTCTCTTTGTGGTACTCTACACTACAATGCAGGATACATTTTGTTTTCTCTTTTTCTTATATTTACTTGGCCCAAACTCACTCTGCAGAACCTGTTTTATCCTAATTTTAAAAAATGTAAAACTATGCCACTCCAAAAAAAAAAAAAATTCTCAGATTGAAAGGGAACAGAAGAAGAGGAGGAAGAGGAAGAGGAAGAAGAAGAGGAGGAAGAGGAAGAGGAGGAAGAGGAGGAGGAAGGGGAAGAAGAAGGAGAAGAAGGAGGAGGAGGAGGAGAAGGAGAAGGAGAAGGAGAAGGAGAAGGAGAAGGAGAAGGAGAAGGAGAAGGAGAAGAAGGAGAAGAAGGAGAAGAAAAAGAAAAGAAGGAAGAGGACGAAGAAGAGGAGGAGGAGGAGGAACATCATAACACTGAGAAAAACTAGTAAAGAACCATCGATACTGAGACATATTCTGGTTACGTCTATCATTTCAAATACCATTTCTTCTTTAAGTAACAAGTTAGAAAAAGTCACTTACAAGACAAATAAAAAACATTGACGGTACCAGCAGTGTTAGTCTTCTCTTGAGCGCAGAATACATTTTTAGGGCTGGGGAGATAGCTTAGACCTAAGCACCTGCCTGGCAAGAGCAAGGGCCTGAGTTCAATCCCTGGTACCACAGCATGCCATGCTGGCCCCGGGCCCCTAGGTGCACTGTGCAGGCCTGAAACCCACCAGTCCCAAAACCAGACGTGGTGACACATGCCTGTAGTCCCAGCGCTGGGGAGGCTGAGACAAGAGGATCACTACAAGTCTGAACTGCATAGCAAGACCCTGTATCAAAACAAAACAGAATTCATTTTTAATTAGAAGAAAATTGTGGAACCAAACAATATGAACCCCTAAAAAGCTTTTGTCCAGTGTGGCATTTATAAATACATTCTTGAGAAATGTAAAAGATACTGGAAACTAAGTATCTGTATCCTTAGTCAACTTGAAATAAACTCTCATTTAATAAAAAATAATACTCTAATAACAAATGTCACAATTCCTTTGTTACTGTTTAGCTGTTCTTTTTTTCTTCCTTGAGATTGGGTCTTGCTGTGTAGCTCAGACTGGTCTCAAATGACACTATGGCCTTAGTTTGGGAATAATACAATTCCTTGTGAGTTTTCCTGATACTTGTTATAAAACATTTAAAAACCTGTTTACATAAGGGGCCAGGGAGATGGCTCAATGGAATAAGCGCTTCCCTGGCAAGCGCAAGGGTCTGAGTTCAATCCCCTGTTCTGCCCCCAAAAAACAAAACAAAACATGTTAATATTAAAAATCTGTTTACAATATAAATCTTTCTTTGTCAAGAACTATGAAACATGTTCAGGTAACAGTCATAAATCATAAGTCATTTAATGAAACAAATAAATTAAAAAGAACTAAGAGTGTAGGGCTGACGAAATAGTTCAGTAGACTAAGTGCCTGCTTAGGCAAGTGCAGGGACCAGGGTTCAATCCTGCACCAGCCCCATCCTGGGCACATTGAGCCAGCCACTGAGTTGAGACGAAGTGGCACATGCCTTTAATCCCAGTGCTGGGGTGGCTGAAAACTGGAGGATCACTAGGAATCCGAGCTACATAGTGAGACCCTGGAACAAACACATTAAAAAAAAAAAAAAAAAAAAAAAGAACCAAGAGTGAGCACTGAATCCAACCACATATAGGATTAAGGTTGAAAAAGGGGGGCGGGGGAGGTGGCAGTAGATCTGAAAGTAAAAAGACCAACATCAAAATTCAAGTAACAAACAGCAGAGAAGAGGGTGAGATAACTATTTTTGGAAGCAAAGTCAATTCATACTCTCTAGGGCTGGTGAGATGGCTCAGTGGTCTAAAGCACCTACTCAGAACAATCCCCCAGCACCACATACCAGCCAGCCCCGCCCCCTGGTGGGCTGAGCTGGCCACACACACACACACACACACACACACACACACACACAAATAAATAAAATGTAAAGAGTTCTCAAATTGTTTAAAAAAAAATTCATACTCTCTAAATGTCAATGAGCTCAATATTTTTTTTTTTTTTTGGCGGAACTGGGGATTGAACTCAGGCCCTTAGGCTTGCCAGGGAAGTGCTTATTCCACTGAGTCATCTCCCAGGCCCCAAGGCTCATTTTTTTTTTTTTTTTTTCAGAACCGGGGATTGAACTCAGGCCCTTGCGCTTGCCAGGGAAGTGCTTCTTCCACTGAGCCATCTCCCCGGCCCCCCGCAAAGCTCAATTTTAAAATAACATTTTTTGGGGCTGGGAAAATGGCTCAGCAGAATAAGTACTTGCTTGGCAAGTGCAACGGCCTGAGTTCAATCCCCGGTTCTGGGGAAAAAAAAAAAAAAAAGATTCTTAAAACTGGGGGTTGTGCCACATAGTCCAGGCTGGTCTTGAACTTAGTATGCAGTTCAGGCTGGTCTCAAATTTGATGTTTTTCTTGCCTCAGCCTCCCAAATGCTGGGATTACAAGTGCGTGCCACCACCTGGCTAAACCAAACAATATTTTAGTTTTCATGTTATGATTCAAAACTATATGAAATAAATTTAAAGTTATCAAATATTCTAAGTTCAAAATTATATTTTAGTTTTATTTTAATAAATTTAAATAAGTACATTTAATTATAAAACTTCTCAGTAAACCCTATATGGTGTGGTTTATATAAGTGTTTCAACAGCCCACAATTAATGGCTTGGTTGCCAGCCTGAGGTGTTACTGGATGGTGGGTGTAATGATATGAGTCAGAAGCTTACTGTTCTAAAGGTGCAAGGAACAAAGAGCACAGCCTAAGGAGACTGGCCCCTTGTACTTCTGGCAAGATAACAGATTCCTGGAGGCAGTGCCCTGTCTGTTCTTTGTTCCTTTACCTGGGAAGATAGCAACTAGTGATATGCAAATTTAAAGAGTTTGGTGAATGCCAGAACACGATGTAAGTAACAGCTTGCTTACACCAAATTAGTTATGCACATTCTTTAGCCTGTTTGTAGCCCTCAATAAATGTGAGAGGTTTCAGCTGCTCCCCAGCTCACTTACAGTGAGACTTCTGAAGCTATATTAATCCAATCTTTGTCTTTTCTTTCTGCTCCTACTGATAATATTCAACAGATGGGAGAAACTATGAAAGGGGGCCCTAGTGGGAAACTTAGGGCAATAGGGTGTCATCCAGTAAAGGAGATATTGGGATTGAGCCCCTTCCCTCTCTTAACTATTTTCCAGTCCCTATGTTTCATTTGCTATATGATCTGCCATGATATACAGTACTGTCTACTGTCTTAGCACAGACCCAAGAACAGGCCAATGACCATGGTCAATTACTGGCCTCTGAAACTATGAGCCAAAATAAACATCTCCTCACAACTTCATTATCTTGTATATTTTGTCACATGACAGAAAGCTAATACACAATTCATAAAAAAATTCAATTCATTTTTCCAGCCATCCATCTAATCTACCACTAAAACCATATGCAAGAGTTATCTGGAACATCAATCAAATGTTATCAAGTGCTACTTATTTCTGAGGGAAACAGATTCTGGATATTTTATTGTTTTACTCTTCTTAGGTTTCCATATTATTTACATTTTATTATTGTTTTCTTCAATTAGTATTTACTGGAACATTTCAGACATACATAATGATCACATACATCATAGAGAATTTGTACCTGTACATGATATAACTTGTTTATATTACTTAAATTTTACTTAAATTTTAAATAAGTATATACTATACTTTAAAAACAAGTCTTTTGTGAATCAGAAAGACAACTCTTTAATCACTGCAATCTTCTTTTCCAGCTGGAAAGGCAGTCAGAAAAAACAGCTTTTAGACTAGTGAAGATAACTCAATGTAGAAGTGTGACCATATTAACAAGCACACAAAACAGATTTGAGTTTTCTCTTTGGACTCTGTAGTACCTAAGGGAACAGACCTGTATCACCAGTGCTGGTACATGGTGTCTACACAAAAAGCCTCAGAACTCTCATACCTTCACAACAGGATGGCCCCCAGTAGATGCTTTTACTGCCCCTCGGCTACCTTCAGTTTCATAATGGGCTCGATGATGTGTTTTAGGTTGTACTTCTATTTTCAGTTCACATTGTCCAAAGTGAGTTGGTAAAGGCCAGTCTAATGGAGGCAATGAAGATGTGCTATAAATAAAACACACAAACATGCTATTGTCGCCATGATTCAAATTAGTTCTTTGCCAATACTTGTCATCTCTGAAACAAAGTATTTTAAAATAAATTTCTTTTAGCATAACACTGGTTATGGTAGGTGCTTAATAAATAATTATTTAATCTGAACACAAATCTATTTTAGCTACTTTTTCATTTTTCATATTTTCTCAAAAAGGACATATTCTAAAAATTTTTTTAAATTGTTTCTCAACTATGTATAATTACAAAAACCATCAAAACTCTAGTAATTTCAGTCCTTAAAGCAAAAGATACGCATTTCTGTATGTGTTTCTCTCCAAGAATCTAAAAATCTTATTCTAGGCTTCACAATGTAACCTTCCCTCCCTTAAAAAAAAATTTGTGGAAGTCAGACATGTTTCTTCCCTACTTCTTCTCTATTATCTTTGTTATCACTGAAAAATTATTTATATTCAGCAATATATTGCAATTTGAGGTTAAAAATTTCACTATGTATTTAACTAAAAAACGAAACAAAACAAAAAACCCTTTAAGCATCTTTAACATATTCCGGCCAGCCTAAACCACTAGTGTTACATACATGACCACCCCAATTGGTGGCTTATACCACCCAGTGGCCCCATCTCACCCAATAGGTCTAATCCATGTACTACCAGTGGTTCAAAACCTCCCAGCAGTGAAAGTTTTGAGTTATGGCCCTACTGTGAACAAGCAAAATGACAATTTTTTGGGTTTTTTGAGACAAGGTCTTATAATTTGGCTCAAGATGGTCTTAAACTCATTCTGTAGCCTTGGATGGATTCAAATTTGCAGTGATCTTACCATCTCAACTTCCTGAGTGCTGGAACTACCAGCAGGCACTACAACACCTGGTTAAATGACATTTTAAAAACTTGATTGATGAAATAATTTCAACATCTTAACGGCCTAAATGTTTGTTTAGATATACTAACACTGAAAATATAGAATTAGAAAATAACATATTAGTGTATGCCTATAAACCTAGCACTCTGGGAAGTGGGCAAACAAGAGGATCACACGTGCATGACCAGCTTGGGTAACTTAACCACTTAGTGAGACCCTGTCTCAAACATTAAAACAAGGGCTGCGGATATAGCTCCATGCAAAGCCCCTTGGTTCAATCCTTACTATAGAAGAAGAGACAGAGAAGTAGAGAAAGGAAGAAAGGTTGAGGGAGTAGCTTAGTGGTAGACTGCCTAGCATGTGCAGGCCATGGGTTCAATCCTCGGTGCCACAAAATACAAAATAAGGCCAGATTGTTTTTCTTAGCCACACTGTGCCTGCCTGGCAAGTGCAAGGTCCTGAGTTTGATTCCCAGTACCAAACCAAACCAAGCCATATCACCTAAACAAATAAAACAAAAACAAGAAAACAGACATCTGCAGGTCCAATATTAATGGTCCCCAAACTACAATGTTAAAAAGTAACATCCTAAAAAAAAAGTAACATCTTAGTAATAGGTGAATTAGGGCTTTCTTCCCCCCCTCTTCCTCCATCCCTCCATTTTTGTTTTTTGAGATAGGGTCTCACTATGCAGTTCAGGCTGGCCTTGAGTTCATTATATACTCCAGGCTGGCCTCAAATTTCCAATGATCAGCTTCTGCCGCTCTACCTCACAAGTGCTAGTACAACAGTCATGTGCTACTACAGCAGGCACCTTCTAACCTTTAAAATTGTATCATTCTTAGTGTAAATTTCTAAATTACCCATTAATTCCTTCAGTGTACTCACTCCAGATTAAGCCTTCATATGGTACAGCTCAGAGATAGCACTTTTTAAAATTTTTTCTGCAGGCCCTTATATTGAGCTACATTCTTAGACCTCTTATTTTTCAAATTTTGAGACTGGGTCTCAAAATGTAAACTGCCCAAGGTGAGCTCAAACTTGCAATCCTCCTGCCTCAGCCTCCCAGAATGCTGGGATTATAGGCATGTTCCACCATGATTGACTAAGATATCAATTTTTTAAAAATGTATTTTAGTACAGGGTCTCACTACACAGAATGGACTCATAGTGATCCTCCTGTTTTCAGTCTCCCAAGTGTTGGGAATATAGGTGTGTACGACTACCCCTAGTCTCATTCGAAGTCTCAGGGTAGCCCAGGGGCAGGGCCAGCACAGCACTTCGGGGAATGAACCAGTGCCTATGTCTGCCTAAGCAGGTGCTTTAATCCACTGAGCTATCCGGCTGACCCTAGGATATTTTTTTTATTGGTCTAAAACAATAGGTCAATTTTATCAACTGTTAGTTCTGTACTTGTTCTTCAGACATGAGCAAACTCACGGGAAGCAAGATAAATTTTAGAAACAAAATCAGGTATGGTAGTGTAGCCTTGGCTACCTAGTGAGTTCAAGACCAGCCTGAACTACATAATGAGACACTTTCTCAAAAAATAAATAAATAGAGAAGTGATATCTTCAGTAGCAAAGATTCCATATTCTATTTTTCTAAAGATAAGGATTCCAGAGATAGTTATTTATACTAATAAAAATTTATTTTTTAAAAAGTCACTAAACAGGGCTGGAGAGATGGCTCAGGGGTCTAAAGCACCTACTTGGAACAAGCTTGACAAAGCACAGGGACCGCGGTTCAATCCCCCAGCACCACATGCCAGCCAGCCCCGCCCCCTGGTGGGCTGAGCTGGCCACACACACACACACTAAAATAAATAAATGTTAAAAAAAAATTAAAAAAAAGTCACTAAACATATACAACTCCATATGGGAATTTAATATATGATAAAAGTTGTCCTTCATAATGAATTATAGATTAGAACAAACCTTCACATGGTACTGTAACAACTATCAACTTATTTGGAGAGTAAAAGATACTATATTCTTTATCCCTTACACCAAAATAATGGTGGAACCAAGATTCAAATATTTATTTGATAAAAATATCATACACATAATATACACAAAACTATTAGAAACACATAAAAGTTATAATTTTAATTATTTTATTTTTTATTATGTATTTAGTACAGGGTCTACAGGGTCTCATTACAAAGGTTGGACTTGGAGTGATCCTCCTGTTTTCAGCCTCCTAAGCACTGGGATTACAGGCATGTGCCACCATACCGAATCTCAGTCCCTGCCTCAGTGCGCCCTGGGGGTGGGGCCGATCACATAGGCAATAAAGCAAAATCTGAATACAAAAATCTGAAAACTTTCTCTAAAAACAAATTATACACTTTTTTTTTTTTTGGAGGAACCGGGGATTGAACTCAGACCCTTGCACTTGCTAGGGAAGTGCTTATTCCACTGAGCCATCTCCCCGGACCCAAAACAAATTATAAACTTAAAAAGTAAAAATAAAATAAAAAAGGCCAAGGTTGGTGGTACATGCCCATAATCCTGGCTATTTGGAAGGACAAGGCAAGAAGAGGATAATTTTGAGACTAGCCTAAGAAATATATGTACAACACATGACCTATATACTTTTAAACTCAGCCTATCTAAAAATACTTTTAATGCTGGGCATTGTGGCACACACCTATAATCCCAGCACCCAGGAGGCTAAGACAGGATGATCATTGTAAGTTTGAGACCAGCTTGGGCTACAAAGTGGGCTCAAGGCCAGCCTGAACTACATAGTGAGACCCTCTCTTTAAAAAGATGCCCACTCCCCCCTCAAAAAAAAAAAAAAACAACCTTCTAAAACTTAGAAGAAAAATAAGCCAGGCATGACAGCACATGCCTATCATCCCAGCACTCAGGGAACTGAGGCAGAAGACCACAAGTTGAAAGCCAGCCTGGGATACATGGTGAGTTCAAGGCTAACGTGAACTACGTAGTAAGACTTTGTCCCCCCTAAAAAAAAAATTAAAAAATAAAAAAAAAATAAAAAACTTAAAGGAAAATAATGGGGAAGGGGAAAAGAAGTCAGGAAAAGGAAGGGGAAAGGGATGAGTTAGAGAAGGGCAGGAGATGGGGATGAAAAGGAAGGAAAGGACAAGATAAGGAGAAAAATGATCAATTATAAGTAGACAACACACTTACATGCTACTAATGAACCATACATATGAAAAACAATCAGCAGCTGAATCTACCAACTCACCGAAATATTGGGGTATGGCCAGGCTTTGGTTTGTTCCAAGTAAAGGGTGAAGGAACTGAAAGAAATTGGTCACCAGATGAATCTTTCTTTAAAGGATACTGAGATCCAAGGCCATCATCTATTGAAGTCTCCCGAGATGGTGATACACTCCCTTGATCATCTGAACAGAGCTCTAATTTTCCTGGTAGTATGGCAGCTTGATCTTCAGATGTCTTCCTTGTTTTCAGAGGGATATCAGTTTCTACACAGTATTGAAAGGGAAAAAGTGCAGGGCCAAGGCTTGACCCACTGTGGACAGAGACATTGAGCCAGGTATCTTCTGTTACACTTCCCCTAGGGGAGTGACCAGGAGAAGGAACAGGTGAGTGATGGGGTGAAAGAGGCCCGGCATAACAAACTTCAGCACTGGAGTGCCGCCGTTTCCCACAGGGGGAGGTAGGCCTTGATGAAGGACCTGAAGCTGGCCTGGGGCTCAGCCAATTCTCATCAGTGATACTGGATCTAGGAGAGTGGCAAGGCGATTGCCTGGGTGACAAGGAATGCCCAAGTCCATACTGTTGATGCCAGGACTCTTCTCCAGGGCAGCCCCCTGGTGAGCCACCTGGAGAAGTCAGAGGGGATCCAAGAGTAAATCGGGCAGCAGCTTCATTCAACTCCGAGTCCACATCATCATAAATGTGTGAAAGAGATTCACAAGAAGAAGCATCTGAAAACCAGCTCCTAGAAGAGATGCTGCTGGCAGGACTAGGACTAAGGGAAGACTCCCGGTAGGACGGCTCAAGAGGAAGATAGAGATGATCTCTAGAAGGCCTCTCCAAATATTCCCCTTCTGGGTCAGTTATATGTAGATCATCTTCACATGCATCTGTTTCTTGATGACAGTTAGGTGAAATAGATGTAATTTGAATACTTGGGCATTCAAAGGGCTTGGGACCACCTAATGGGCTATATTTAGATTCAGGAACATCAACAGTTCCTTCATAGTTCTTGTGACCTTGGAGCTGAAACGATGGTGACAAAACAGAAGAGTGAGACGGTAATCCATGATGTGGTAAGCAAAGCGATGAGTTTAAAGTAGATGGAGGTGGATCTACATTAAGGATGAAAATGGATGCACAATCATCTGTCTCAAGATCTATGGGAAGAAGCCAAAAAAACAAAAAAGTCAACAAAACAAGAAATTGGAAAATTTAGATGTATAAATTAGATGAGAAAGTAAATAATAATAATCCCGGGAGGAAAAAAAATGGGACACAAAATCTATGTTGTTAGCTCCACTAAAAATTATTTGTTTAAAAATGCATCTTAATTATTACATATTTATACATGTAATGACGACTTTTCTTTATTCTCACAATTTCAAAAATGATAATCAGAAAACATAGTCTAAATCCCTGGTACTGCAAAAAAAGAAGAAAGAAAGAAAGAAAGAAAGAAAGAAAGAAAGAAAGAAAGAGAAAGAAAAGAAAAGATAAGATAGTCTAAAACTAATAAATGCTAAAAGCAGCAAAGGAAAAGCAAATACACACACACACACACTATCTATATCTATATCTATATCTATATCTATATATACATTTTTTTTGAAGTTGTACTACTAATTTGTGCTAATGTTTGGACAACTTAAATGCTTATATCTTGTACTCTAAGTAACTAATTTAAAAATAACAACTAACCATTGCTTCTTACTATCTTGTTTTGAAATCTTTAAAATTTAAAAAATAAAACTAATAAATGCTTTTATAAAACAATAATCATGTCTGTTAAACACTGCACTGCAGTATTGAGATGAGATGGAAGGATTCACTGTTTCCTGAGAGGTATTTTAGCTGGCTGCCACAGGGGTCCCATGGCTTCTCCAGTAGGTATATGCTTGGGCTGCAGAAAGCTTCAGTTAAGGACCTACCCCAGATAACTCTGCCTGGCAGCTGCTCTGGATTACTCCTACCTTCTGCAGCTCCCCTCAATCAGGTCCACAAGGTTCCTCCATTTCCACTAGGCTAAACAGAAAGTATGTACATGTGCTAGCCCACTGTTTTTTTGTTTTGTTTTGTTTTTCTTTCTTTTTTTGCTATTAAGCAACCTTCCCTTACCCTTAGCAGGGCAATCCATGCCATGGCATAGGTTCTAATAATGTATTTTTCAGATGGCACAGTTTTGTCTTTTGGTGAGTTCTATGTTGAGTAGAGCACGGTGAGCTGGTGCATTAAGAGGTAGTAGCACCAGAGGTCAAGTGCCAAGTGACCAGCAGCTAGAGCTGGAAATTCAAAAGGTCACTGGCACCAAAAGCAGCCAGTAACACTGAATGTGCTGGCAGCAGAGAACAGAGAAATGCCAGGAGATCCCCTCTCCAGTGGCAGGAATAACTACCAACACCTGCTAGTAGCTGCCTGTCTCAATCAACAAGGATATCAAGATATTTTTATGGCTTATAAGCAAAACTGAAATTTCTAGAGACATGGTTGTAGGTAAACAGGCACATTCATACCACACTAACAGGAATGCAAAATAGAATAGCCACTCTGAAAAACTTCGGCAGTTTCAAGTAAAATAAAACACACTTTACATAGGATGCAGCAATTTCACCACTGGGTGTTTGTGCACTCTTTAGAAAAATCACTGTATTCACACAAAAACCTGTACAAAAATGTTCATGGCATTCTATCTATAATCACAAAAAAACCCACATGTATTTACACATTGGAAAATTTACTGAAGAAAAAAGTGTACTACTGCTAATAATGCAATAACTTAGAAAAATCTCAGACATTATGCCCAATAAATGCAAGTCTCAGAAAGCTATATATATTGTACAGTTCCATTTATATGACATACTCAAAGATGATAAAATTACAGTGACAGAAAATCAGTCGCTGCCAGTGAGTAGAGGTGGAACTAATTAGGCGTGTTTAAAAGGAGGCTGCTATTAGAACTGCTATATATGTTGATAGTAGCTGTGATGATACAAATTTATACATGTTAAAATTCAGATCTGTACACCAAAAAAGTACCATTTTACTGCAATTTTTAAAATAAAAAATTTAAAATTTAACATAAAGAATAAGGTCATATCAAAGACACAAGAGTTAACTTTTTTTTTTTTTTTTTTTTGCGGAACTGGGGATTGAACTCAGGCTCTTACGCTTGCCAGGCAAGTGCTTATTCTACTGAGACATCTCCCCAGTCCCTCATCTTTAAGGGTCCCGACAAGTAGGAAAGAAATGTGGAATAAAATAGGTAATAGTAGCTGGGTGTGATGGCGCACACACCTGTAATCTCAGCACTTGGAGGCTGAGACAAGAGGATTATTGCAAGTTTGAGATCAGTCTGGGCTGCAAAGTGAGCTCAAGGCCAGCCTGACCTGCATAATGAGACCCTGTCTCAAAAAAAAAAAAAAAAAAAAAAGTAATACTGTTATCAAAACCCATAGCATCAAACAAGCTTCCATGAGTCCACAAAGAAATGTTTCTAAGACATAATACCTGACACCTGCAGTATAAGGAAGGAAAGGTTTATTTTGGTTCATAGTTTTAGTCCATGTTCAGTTGGTTCCAAAGCAGAAACAGGAGAGTACACAGGCAACAGCAGAGAAAAAGGTCCTCAGTTCATGATAGCAGAGTGAAGAGAGGAACCAGGAAGAGAGATACACCATTCCAGGCCATGCCCACAAGGACCTATCTCTTAGGACCAATCCCCACCTCCAAACAGCACATTTACACTCTTAGGATCCAATCACCCTTTAAAAGTCCCACTCTGAACACATGACCTTTTGGGGGGACATTCCAGATCTGAACTGTAACTCTGATATAAACAAACTGAGTAAATAAATGAATAAACATAATGGGACAGTGCTTACTTATAGGAAATTCTAATTAATAAATCCAGAGTCAGGCATGGTGGCACAGGCCTATAATCCCAGCTACTAGGGAAGCTCATGCAAAAGGATTATACAGTCTCACTCTAATGTGAGAAAATATCAAAAAAACCCAAATTGATACAGTTGTGGTGACTCAGAAAGCTGAGGCCAGACGACAGCTGTGAGTTCAAGATCATCTTGAACTACAGGGCAAGATACTGTCTCAAAACAAAAACAAAAACAAAAAAAAAACAAAGCTGGGTGTGGTGGGCCTACCTGTCTGTAATCACAGCACTTAGGAGGCTGAGGCACAAAGACTGCTACAAGTTTAAGGCCAGCCTGGCCTACATAATAAGTTCAACAAGGCCAGCCTGAACTGCACTTGTGAGACACTGTTGAAAACAAAACAACATAGCACAACACAACAACAAAAATAAAGCCAAATCGAAACCAAACAGGGCCAAATTGAGAGGCATTCTACAAAATTACTAGTAAGTAGACCTTTGACTTGCAAACTCATTTCCTTCTTGAGTGCTGGTTACAACTCAAGTTGGATGTAAGTCAAAATTTTTCCCCATAAAAAATAATGGAGGGCCTGAGGAGAGAACTCAACATTCTAAGCACTTGCTTGGCAAGCGCAAGGGCCTGGGTTTGATCCCCAGTACTGCATGCCATGGTGGCTCCACCACCCAAACTGGGCATGGTGGCCCAAGCCTATAATTCCAGCGCGGGGAAGGCTGAGACAGGAGTATCACTACAAGTCTGAGCTGTGTGGAAAGACCCTATAAAAATAAATAAATAAATAAATAAATAAAAAAGATTAAAAAAAAAAAGAATGGAAATACACATAACGGGTGCTGAAAGCACCCTTTAACCTTGTCAAAATAAAAAGGGTTGTAAATGTATACAATTTACCAGAAACACCAATAATTTTCCTAGTGTATTCATCAAAAAGTTATCAAATGTACTTACTTTACCAGAAACAACAATTTCATACTGTATTCACCATTCAAGTTGACATCTCTGTTTTGCAGTAAGGGAGGATGAAATACAAGGCAGTTGTTGCTTGGAAGGACAGTTCCCTTTCATAAGAAGATCAGGAATCTAGCTCTCTGGTGTCCTTTCTCTCCTTGGGACAGTCCACTACCCCCTGCTTCTGACTCACAAGGTCTCAACCTTTTCAGAGCTAAGAACAGGGTGCCTGTTTTTAACATTATTTTTTAGTATGACATGACATTATGCAAGTAAATGCAATGATTAGCTTTTTCTCTGTTTGCACATGTTTTCTCTACAAATGTTTGCAGCTCTATTTTTCAAGCATTTCTTTTATTTCAGGACTTTGCTGCACTGATTTGCTTTTATTTATTATGTATTTGGTACAGGGTCTCACTACACTGTGAGATTACAGGTGTGTGCCACCATGCCCAGTCTTGGTCAGCCTAGCACACCAGGAGTGGGGCAGGGCTGGCACAGTGTGCAGTGCTAGGAATCAAACCCCAGGTCCCTTAGCTTGCCTAAGCAGGCGCTTAGTCCACTGAGCTATCTCATTGGTCCTGTTGCACTGATTGTTGATATTCTTCCTCCTCTTCAGATAGCTCCTCAGCTGCCATTCCCTGTTTCTCAGTCAGAAGTTGCTCCAGTTCCTCTGCAGACAATTCCTCTTAGTGTTCCTCCACCCATTCACATCACCACTGGCTATTTGCCAGCCTATGGATTCTGCTATAGTGACAATATTGCCAACTACAGGGTCAACTGAAGGCTCAAACTCTTCTATACAGCCTTCAAAGTCTCTCTCTCGTATAACTTTAGGCCATACTTTTTTCCAGGCAGATCTCATTGTCTTTAGAGAGACATTAGCCCAATATTTCTCAATTAATCCCACACAAGAAAGGATGTTGTAATGTTCCTTCCAGAACTCCTTAAAGGTTAATCTGTATCTGAGATCATCTGGAAGCACTTCAGGAACAGATCCTTGGTGTATAGCTTAAGTTACCAATAATCTGCTGGTCCATAGGCTGCAGTAAAGGAGTTGTATTAGGTGGGAGGAACTACACTGACAGCCATGGGAATTCTTCAGCCAATTTTTCTAAATCTCATGGGTGAGCAGGAGCATTTTTCATGATGAGGGCCTTAAATGGCAAATCTCTGTCCTTTAGATCTCTCTTTCCCTCTCTCTCTGCCTCTCTCCCTCCCTCTCATTCTTTCTTTCTTTTTTTGACAGAACCAGGGATTGAACTCAGGCCCTTGCGCTTGCCAAGCAAATGTTTATTCTACTGAGC